TCGAACTTGAAAAAACATAAAATATAAGGTATTTTTGTAGATAAACAAGCTTTAAACACATCAGAATTTCAAATATACTAACTTCGGAGATGGATCTGTAGGTTTGGAGTACAAATGTACGAGTGAAAAAGGTAAACAAAGAAGTGTAATGAAGGAATTCTCCGTTCCACCTTAAATGGTGCAGCAGTTACATTCTGGCGCCTGAGGCGCCAGAATGTAACTGCTGCACCATTTAAGGTGGAACGGAGAATTCGAATTATAAGCCCATTTCAGCTCGGTTTCTTGTCAGGTTCAGTCCAAACGGGTCCAAACATGGCCTAGACCACCTTAACAAACTTTCACAAACATGTTTCTTGACTAAAACAACCTAAATTAAGGTTTTTATCCGAGTTGGTTCTTTTAGTTCTCATCGTTAAACAAAGTTAACTGAACGAAAGGTCCAAGCTGTACTTACCAAGCAGCATTACACGCGAGAATGATCAAAATCAAACACAAAATATGTCCATAAAATGAGTTTTTAACAATATTCCGCTGTGCAAATCTCCGTACCCGACCGCCCCTCATACACTCTCTCAACTGAGCTGCTAAAGCTAACCGCTAACAGCGAAAACTTTTCACGTCACGTGCCTTTCACGCGCCCCCTCTCATTGGTTGGCGATGCTGCGTCCCGATTCAGGTGGTTTTGGATTATTTTCCACCTGTATTCAGGAAAACTCCGCCTTCTGCGCTTGGATTGGCTAGTAGCGTTCCGCGTCCTGTGAGAGGATTGGATAATAGAGTCCTGCCTTCTTGTTGTGATTTGCTAGTAGAGGTCAATCTCCTGTTATTGGCTGTGAGTAATTATTATTATTATTATTATTATTATTATTATTAACCTCTTATATTCTGAATGGCTTCCCGCCGCCTGTGATGTGATTTGTTAATTATGTTTTTCCTGCTCTGGGATTGGCTTATAGTGCCCTGCCTTCTGCACTGTGGTTGGCTAGTGGAAGTTCGCCTCCTGCAATGTGATTGGCTAGTAGGGTCCTGGCGATTCACAACAACAGAGGTGATGTTACTAGCCAATCACAGTTCGAGATGCGATATTATTAGCCAATCACAGTTCGAGATGCGATATTATTAGCCAATCACGGCACAGTAGATGAATAATAACGCAATGCAATGAGCCCAAAATTAGATCAAATCAAATCCAAATTTTAGCCAATCACAGTGCAGGAGATGATATTAGCCAATCACAACACAGTAGGTGATACTACTAGCCAATCACAGTGCAGGAGATTATATTAGCCAATCACAGCACAATAGGTGATATTATTATCCAATCACAGTGCAGGAGATGATATTAGCCGATCACAGTGCAGGAGATGATATTAGCCGATCACAACACAGTAGGTGATATTATTAGCCAATCACAGTGCAGGAGATTATATTAGCCAATCACAGCACAATAGGTGATATTATTATCCAATCACAGTGCAGGAGATGATATTAGCCGATCACAGTGCAGGAGATGATATTAGCCGATCACAACACAGTAGGTGATATTATTAGCCAATCACAGTGCAGGAGATTATATTAGCCAATCACAGCACAATAGGTGATATTATTATCCAATCACAGTGCAGGAGATGATATTAGCCGATCACAACACAGTAGGTGATATTATTAGCCAATCACAGTGCAGGAGATGTTATTAGCCAATCACAACACAATCGGTGATATTATTATCCAATCACAGTGCAGGAGATGATATTAACCAATCACAGCACAATAGGTGATATTACTAACCAATCACAGTGCAGGAGAAGATATTAGCCAATCACAGCATACGAGGCAGAGCTCAGGCCTCCACCTTCCAGTCTTACAGCTTACAGGCTACCTGAACAGGTGTGTGAACAGGTGTAGCAGAGTCGCCTTCATTAGTGTTTCCAGCTCCAGCACTACAGTCCAGTCAATGTAAAATACAATATGTTCTGATTTCTGTCCAAAACTACACCAGTTAATGAGGATTAACACGAACATCAGCAGAAGATCTACAGTCTCTACCCGAACAGCAGCGCGGCGGAGCTACGGCACAGGGGTTTCTGATAAAGTGGCCACTGAGAAAAACACAGCAGCTGGAGTAATAAAACCTGGTTATTACTGAAAGCTGGCATTACTGCATATTTCTGATCAGACAGATTACAGAACGTGTTTGAAATCACTTTCTGCGGAGTTTGCTCAAGTCAGTATTAGAGAGTTTATCTGCAGCTCTATAGCGCGTCCGCGTGGTTGTGCTCGGTACTACACTGCATAAAATGGGCCGAGAAATGGGCTGTAGGCTCTAAAAATAGAACAGATTATAAATCGAGCTAAGCTACTACGCACTGTTATTAAATGCATATTAAATCAGATATTAAATCAAAATCAGACTCAGTTTTATTTTGTCAAGTGTGTTAGAGATACTAAGCCCCGTCGACAAATATTGAAGATAAAATGAGACATGTTGATAAAGAAAAAGATAAAAAATAAAAGAATATAAAAACAAAATACATATAAAAATAACCAATATACAAAAAGATGCTAAAAGGCATAAAATAGCTAAAAATGTAAGAGATAAAACGCTATTGTTTAAAACGCGGCTCCATTTGTGCTTTTATAACTGTATTAAACTAAACTATTAAATTAATATATATTAAAACATTAAATTTTATTCAATTAATCTGCGCTGTGAGACTCTTATGTCAGAAATTCTACAGCCGGCAGCGCGACGTTGAGCATCAGTGCGCATGCGCTTTGCGGATTTTTCACAAGAAAAGTCCCAAGTGAGAACATAAACAGAAGTGCCACAGACCCGCCAAACAACCATTAAACACCAGAACGCGACTAAGTTGTGCATAAATACTGTACATAATGTAAACACCGAGCGCATCGCACAGTTTATTGTAAATATTCAAGTGTGAGAGGTGAATGGCGTCCCCTGGCGGCTGGCGGACTTCCTGCTCAGCCGCACTGCAGGTATGGCGGCGTTTAGTAAACACCTGACCGGCAGGAACTGCTCAATATCCGCGGCTTTAGTGCTGGTGCTCTACCTGCTGAAGCAGAGAGGACACTATTCCAAACTAAATAACAAGTAAGAGGATTTTAAAGTGATTAATGTTGTCGATTCGTCAGCTTCTTGTTCGAATTTCCCGTTCCACCTTAAGTGGTGCAGCAGTTACATTCTGGCGCCTCAGGTAACTGCTGCACCATTTAAGGTGGAACGGGAAATTCGAATAAGAAGCCAACTGTACATTCTTAAAAAGGTAGTTCTTCAGTGTTCTTTTAGTAAGGATTATGGTTCTGTTTAGAACCATGAGTGGTGAAATGGCTCTACAGATTGATGGAGAATGTGTTGTGTATGGTTCTATGTAGAACCCTTAGAAATGGTTCTATATAGCACCAAAAACCTTCTGCTAAGGTGACCTTCATGACTGTCCTCTTTGTCCTCTCTCTGTAGGGGTAAAGGATCCGCAGAACCGCACCTGAACAGCGTCGTACGTGTCTTCATTTCATTTCTCTTCATTTTACAAGTAAAGCAGCTTTCCAGAAATTCCAGAAATGCAGGTCTGGATTCCTAACAGAGGGTGACGGTGGCGGGAAGAACTCCATAAATGCCCTAAAAGCATGAACCTACACTCAAAGACGGTGCTTCAAGGGTTCTTTAGTAAAGGCAGTAGTTCTATATAGAACCACGAACACTCAAAGAACCATTTGCATGCTTATATGGTTCTTCAGATTGATGGAGAATGTGTTGTACATGGTTCTGTATAGCACCAAAAATGTCATACACAATAGCAGACCCCTTTTTTGGTGCTATCTAGGACAGTTTTTAAAAATGTGCTATATAGAACCATATACGCTCTTTAAAAAGGTGGTTCTTCAATGGTTCTTTAATACACACAGTGGTTCTGTGTAGAACTATAAACACTTAAAGACTCGCTTAATTTGGTGAGAGTGGAGAATGTGCTGTATATGGTTCTAAATAGCACCAAAAAAGGGTTCTGCTATTGTTACAAGCATGACATTGTACACAATAGCAGAACCCTTTTTGGTGCTATATAGAACCATGCACAGCAAATTCTCCATCAGAAGAACCATTTCACCGTGCAGAGAACCATTTAAGCATGCATTTGGATCGTTGAGTGTTCATGGTTGTATGTAGAACTGCTGTCTTTGCTAAAGAACCCTTAAAGAACCATCTTTTTTAGGAATGTATATACTGTCGCCATCTTTACCAGGAACAGTTTAACAGTAACGCTTTCAGGCTTTACATTATGAAATAATCAGCCGAACGGCTGTAATTTTACTTCCTCAGTGTCGTACGACTTTAATTACACAACACCAGGTCATAACTGCTCTTATTTCATAATAAACTATGAGATGTTTATGATATATTTACATAGTTTTGCTTGTATTTCTGTCTAAAACACTTTCAGATTATGTAGCTAAAAAACGTAGTATATAAATGAAGATTTACTTATTTTTTACATTATTATTATTATTTTTATTATTATTAGAAAGATGGTAAGAAGGACAAGGCCGCGGTGGACAAAGTCTTCGTCAGCCGAATTTGCCAAATCTTGAAAATCTTGGTGCCGCGGACGTTCTGTAAAGAGGTGAGTGGATCTTCATCAGCTTTACTCAGATTATAACAACAGAGCGGGATAGAAATAGAAACGGTCCATTAAAAAAAAATGTCCCCATAATTCAGTGTGTGAGGTGTAAGCAGAGTGACTCAGAGTGGTTTGGTGTGAAATGGTTCAGATGTCTTTACAGTGGTGGTGATAGGAACCAGGGGTCGCCATGACTACAACACAGATATAGACATTTTATTTACTATCCAGAACCACCAGTGAACCTACACGAGTCTTCTGAGTTTATATGGAATGTTGATGATGGAAAATAGTGGAAAATCTGAAATAATAAGTTTTCTTTGGGGACTATTTTACCTCTCAGCGCCCTGCATGTATCCCTCCACCATGAATGGAGTTTAAGTTCTCTAAACTATCATAAAACAGTGTCTCAGTCATCAGGCAGTGAATTCATAACCATTTACTGTAGGAACTTTCTGTGAGGGAGCTTTTAGAGGGGGACGTCTGGTTCCTATCACCACCACTGCGAACAGTTCTGACTCGGTAAGTTTATCTAGAACGGAGCGTTTCACACCAAACCACTCTGAACAACTCTGATTACATCCTAACCAGTTAATTATAGAGGAATTTTGGGAAGTCAGTGGAGTTGCCCTTGAGAGTGCATTAAAGGACACTTTCTCCTGCTGTGCAGTTGTGAGGTTTTGTTTATTGACAGTAATATTATCAGTGACACAGTTGGACCAGTTTAACCCAAATAAACTCTGCTGTTTTCATGTGTGTGTGTGTGTGTGTGTGTGTGTGTGTGTGTGTGTGTGTGTGTGTGTGTGGTCAGTCGGGGTATCTGCTCCTCATCGCTGCGATGCTGGTGGCCAGAACGTACTGTGATGTGTGGATGATCCACAACGGGACGATGATCGAGAGGTAAACGCTGAGACTGTATCACACACAGACCTCACTGTAATCAGGGCTTTTATTACAAGCAGTTACACGATAATAACTACAGGCCAATAATGATAATAATCATAACCATAATCATAAACCTGTGTTTATGCTTTATAGCGTCTTTTATCGAACTTCTCCAGCCTGTAAACAGAGCACATTATAATTCTAGTAACCCTGAGACGTCTAGAGTTAATATCATTATTTTGCTAGTGTGTAAATGTAGTTAATTACATGATTAATTACCAGTTAATTACTTAATAACTTACATTTTCAGTCACTTTACATTCTGCATCAACAGGTTCACTTCAGCACCTCTGACTTTAAAACGAAAACAACAAAAATGTAAAAGATGGTTTTATGGAATGACCTCCTGCTTTTGCTATTGCTGACAATAACACTGATTTCTGAAGATTATCATTATTATTGACAGTAATAATAATAACAGTAATAATAATAATAATAATGACAATGTTAATAATAACAATAATATTTTTAGTAAGTTTTATTTATGTAGCACCTTTCTCAATCTTAAGATCACAAAATTTAAAAACAAAAAATATCCCAGTTCTGCTTATGAGCTGAATTATGTCTTGTGTTTTTCTGAAAGACTCAGAGGGTCGACTCTGTGAGAAATCTGCACATTTTACAGATTAATAATCTCCACTACATAAAAGAATAAATAAAAAATAAATAAAAGTCATTGACTGATTGTCTTTTCTAACATTGTGGATGAAATAATCATTCAGCAACATTAATTATTCAGCTTTAATGATTATTACGGGTGAAACAGTTCATGATGCGATAAGAGAAATAAGAAGTGGCTCTAAATTGCCTATTTTAACATGTGAATGTTTACTTTTTAGTTTATAAGAACATTTTACATTATAAACACGTACAAGAAACTGTATATATATATATATATATATATATATATATATATATATATATATATATATGTAGTATATTCGAAACTAAAGCTGTGCTTTATTGCCCTGTTTTAACACAACAAGCTAACATGCTGATCACGATACAGTGATGTGATGTGATGTGATATAACATGTTATTCTGTTACATCACTAACCTGTGCTGACCTGTTGTGTGAGCGTTGGTTGACCTGCATGCAGTGTTGAGTTTGAATGAGCAGAAGTCAAAAAATATATTTTTAAATACTGATATCAGAAGCAAAAAAACAACCTAAGTATTATTATTATTACACTGTTAATTATTGATTTATAGGTAATTAATTATTGATTTATAGGTGTTACGCTGGAGCTGCAGTGAGTGAAGCAGTTGTGTTTTTGTTCACAGTAATACTGACTCTATTTACTCCGTTCAGTACAGCAGTTTGAATACGCTGCTTTTAGAAGGGCTTTATTTTTAGAAAAAGTGCAGCTCTAATCAGCAGAACTGTGTATGAGTGACGCTTCATATAATTCTGCCTTTAAATCCAGCCCGCAGAATAATAATAATAATAACAATAATAATAATAATAATAAATTACTTTGCTGTATTTTTTTGTTATTGTTATTTTTGTAGTAGTAGTGATTTTAGTTGTGGTTTGTGGTGACAGAGGAATTCCTAATAAACATTTACTAAGATGGACTTAATGATCGTATATGTTATGTAGTTAAAATTAATATTTGAGAAAAACGTCCCCCCCCGGCCCCCCTTGTCTCCAGGTAATGAGACCCCCCTGATGCAGACTAATGTAAACAGATTTAGAGTAAGTGCTTCTCTGTGTAGTGTTTGGTTTCACCACTAGGTGTCACTGTAGTTGTGCTCTATCTGTACAGGTTAAACCTGCTGGATAAGTTCAGTCTGACTGACCAGCTCTTCTGGTCCAACACACACACACACACACATACACACACACACACCACTGTTTAACTGTTTAATTACCTGTCTGTCTGTCTGTCTGTCTGTCTGTCTGTGGGTTTGGTTTGGTTTGCAGTGCAATCATTGGACGATCAACTAAAGCTTTCAAGGCGTACTTATTCAAGTTTATAGCTGTCATGCCGTTTGTAAGTGCATCATTTATTAATCCTCTATTAACGTGTACTTTGCATGACCCATCTGTTATAAATAACTGTAATTTGAACACTGTTAATTGATTTTTAATGAAGCTGATTGAAATATTCTAGAGATTTTGTCATTTTTTACCATCGGTGACTTAACATAACTTAATAACGCCTCTCTCTCTCTGTCTCTCTCTCTCCCTCTCTCTCTCCCTCTCTCTCTCTCTTCTCTCTCTCTCTCTCTCTACTATGTCTGTCGCGTTCTCTCTCTCTCCATCGCTCGCTGGCTCTCTCTCTCTCTCTCTCTCTCTCTCTCTCTCTCTCTCTCCCTCTCTCTCTCTCTCTCTCTCTCTCTCTCTGTCTCTCTCTCTCTCCCTCTCTCTCTCTCTCTCTCTCTCTCTCTCTCTCTCTCTCTCTCTCCCTCTCTCTCTCTCTCTCTCTCTCTCTCTCTGTCTCTCTCTCTCTCCCTCTCTCTCTCACTCTCTCTCTCTCTCTCTCTCTCTCTCCCTCTCTCTCTCTCTCTGTCTCTCTCTCTCTCTCTGTTGTATTTGATCAGATATCGTTAGTGAATAGTTCTCTGAAGTTGGGTCTGAATGAGCTGAAACTCTGCTTCAGAGTGAGACTCAGCAAACACCTGTACAGCCACTACCTCAGGTACCGCACGCCGCACCGAACACACACCTGATCAGTATTTAATACAGCCTCACGCTGCGCTACTCACTCACATCCTCCACAGAGAACTCGCTGGAAGAGGACATTACCTGCTGAGTTTAGTTCACCACAGCTCTTTATCTGCTGAGTTGAAAAAAAAATAAACATAAAGGTTCAGAGGCTGCTTTTCCAGTCTGTTAGATTCAGTAAATAAACAGTAATGGTACCTTAAAATTTGCAGAATTGAGTCTCTGTAGGATGTGTAACTTAATAACCTTACACACAGAACAGTCAATCAGCATATATACCACATATATGATATAAATAATCAGCGTAAATTTTATACATGTATATGAATATACACAACGTGTGTGTATATATATATATATATATATAATATATATATATATATATATGTATATATATGTCAATGAGCATACATAGTAAATGTATATATCATGTCATAGTTAATGAGTCATCAGTCAATGAGTGTGTGTATTGTATAGTTTATAATTTATGCATAGTATGTATACAATCAGTGAGTGTATATATTGTAGTATACATATTATATATATCATATATACAGTCAATGAGTGTATATATCTATGAACGTATACATCAAACTGATGTATGAATGGCTGTAGTACTACATTAAGCTTCCTATTCGTCTGTTCCTATTCTCCAAATTTTCCTGTTCCACCTTAAGTGGTTCAGAATGTAACTGCTGATTTCAGCTTCGTCCTGTTTTTGCGGTGGTCAGAGGAGCCGCTGTGGACGTTACATACACTCACCTTTATCTCATTAGGGTTAGAAAGCAATACTGACATCTGAACATGTATACAAATATTTCAGATTTACTTCAGTTGGTAAATGTGGTTCTTATTAAAAGTGAAGGAAGATCCGGAATAATGCGCCACTGTTAATCTGCAAAAAAGGTTTAATTAAGCATCCAAAATGGTTTTATCTGGAAAAAAACATTATACTGTGATATATACCCACACGCCATCACCGCCTCCATCTTAATTACACTGTGATAGGAATTTCTGCCCACACTGCCCTCTACCATTAAAGGGTCAATTTAGAAAAATGCATAAATGTCATTGAAATAATTAGGAGCGTTAATAATTTAAAACCCTAATATATTATCGATATGTAACTTCGGCAGCTCTAAATGTAATTATTCACTGTTATCAGTTGAATTTTGGTGCATTTTATTACATTTTATCCTCTTTCTGAGGAGAAACCTTTCCAGACGTGCTACAGAATCTCAATCTTCCCACAGAGGATTCACCTTCTATAAGGTCAGTAATGTGGACAACAGAATAGCCAACCCTGACCAGCTGCTGACCCAGGACGTGGAGAGGTTCTGTAACAGCGTGGTGGACCTTTACTCCAACATCAGCAAGGTAACACAGAGAGAGACCATTTCACACGGCAGAGAGAGAGACCATTTCACACGACAGAGAGAGAGACCATTTCACACGGCAGAGAGAGAGACCATTTCACACGACAGAGAGAGAGAGAGAGAGAGACCATTTCACACGACAGAGAGAGAGACCATTTCACACAGCAGAGAGAGAGACCATTTCACGCAGCAGAGAGAGAGAGAGAGAGAGAGAACATTTCACACAGCAGAGAGAGAGACCATTATCACATGGCAGAGAGAGAGACCATTTTACACAACAGAGAGAGAGAGACCATTTCACACGGCAGAGAGACCATTATCACATGGCAGAGAGAGAGACCATTTCACACGACAGAGAGAGAGACCATTTCACACAGAGAGAGACCATTTCACACAGCAGAAGGAGAGACCATTTCACACAGAGAGAGACCATTTCACACAGCAGAGAAAGAGAGAGAGAACATTTCACACAGTGGAGTGAGACCATTTAACACACCACAGAGAGAGACCATTTCACACAGCGAGAGAGAGAGACCGTTTCACACAGCAGAGAGAGAGAAAATTTCACACAGCAGAGAGAGAGAGACCATTTCACACAGCATAGTGAGACCATTTCACACAGCAGAGAGAGAGAGACCATTTCACACAGCAGAGAAAGAGAGACCATTTCACACAGCAGAGAAAGAGAGAGAACATTTCACACAGTAGAGAGAGAGAGACCATTTCACACAGCAGAGAGAGAGAGAGACCATTTCACACAGCAGAGAGAGAGAGACCATTTCACACAGCAGAGAGAGAGACCATTTCACACAGCAGAGAGAGAGACCATTTCACGCAGCAGAGAGAGAGAGAGAGAACATTTCACACAGCAGAGAGAGAGACCATTATCACATGGCAGAGAGAGAGACCATTTTACACAACAGAGAGAGAGAGACCATTTCACACGGCAGAGAGACCATTATCACATGGCAGAGAGAGAGACCATTTCACACGACAGAGAGAGACCATTTCACACAGCAGAAAGAGAGACCATTTCACACAGAGAGAGACCATTTCACACAGCAGAAGGATAGACCATTTCACACAGAGAGAGACCATTTCACACAGCAGAGAAAGAGAGAGAGAACATTTCACACAGTGGAGTGAGACCATTTAACACACCACAGAGAGAGACCGTTTCACACAGCAGAGAGAGAGAAAATTTCACACAGCAGAGAGAGAGAGACCATTTCACAGCATAGTGAGACCATTTCACACAGCAGAGAGAGAGAGACCATTTCACACAGCAGAGAAAGAGAGAGAGAACATTTCACACAGTAGAGAGAGAGAGACCATTTCACACAGCAGAGAGAGAGAGAGACCATTTCACACAGCAGAGAGAGAGAGAGACCATTTCACACAGCAGAGAGAGAGAGAGACCATTTCACACAGCAGAGAGAGAGACCATTTCACACAGCAGAGAGAGAGACCATTTCATGCAGCAGAGAGAGAGAGAGACCGTCTCCTGCAGTGCAGAGGAAGCAGTGTGGACTCATTTGGAGTCACTAGCATTTATTTCATGTGTGTTTTTTCTGCAGCCTCTGCTGGACATCATCATCTACATCTTCAAACTGACCACAGCTATCGGCGCTCTGGTGAGCTTCAGATCAGCTCTTATTAATATAATTATTATTTTTAACATTATTAATAGCTGTATCTATTTATCTGTTTATCTGTCTATCTGTCTGTCTTTCTGTCTCTATCTGTCTATCTGTCTGTCTGTCTGTCTGTCTTTATCTATCTATCTGTTTGTCTATCCGTCTGTCTGTCTGTCTGTCTTTATCTATCTATCTGTCTGTCTATCCGTCTGTCTGTCTGTCTTTATCTATCTATCTTTCTGTCTGTCTGTCTGTCTGTCTGTCTTTATCTATCTATCTGTCTGGTCTATCTGTCTGTGTGTCGTCTTTTCATTTTTCATCTTTTTTTAGACAGTAAATGTTTGAAGTTCTGCGGTTCTCAGTTCGGTTCTGTTGGTCTGTTCAGGGTCCAGTCACTATGCTGAGCTACCTGCTGCTGTCCGGTCTGTTTCTGACCCGTCTGCGGCGGCCAATCGGGAAAATGACTGTAACAGAGCAGAAGTTTGAGGGAGAATACAGATACGTCAACTCTCGTCTCATCACGAACAGGTACTCACAGAACCACACTCACCCTTTTCTCACTCTGTTCTCACTTTATTCTCACTTTATTCTCACTCTGTTCTCACTTTATTCTCACCCTTTTCTCACTTTATTCTCATTTTATTCTCACTCTGTTCTCACTTTATTCTCACTCTGTTCTCACTTTATTCTCACTTTATTCTCACTCTGTTCTCACTTTATTCTCACTCTGTTCTCACTTTATTCTCACCCTTTTCTCACTTTATTCTCATTTTATTCTCACTCTGTTCTCACTTTATTCTCACTCTGTTCTCACTTTATTCTCACTCTGTTCTCACTTTATTCTCACCCTTTTCTCACTCTGTTCTCACTTTATTCTCACCCTTTTCTCACTCTGTTCTCACTTTATTCTCACCCTTTTCTCACTTTATTCTCACTTTATTCTCACCCTTTTCTCACTCTATTCTCACTTTATTCTCACCCTTTTCTCACTCTGTTCTCACTTTATTCTCACTCTGTTCTCACTTTATTCTCACTCTGTTCTCACTTTATTCTCACCCTTTTCTCACTCTGTTCTCACTTTATTCTCACCCTTTTCTCACTTTATTCTCACTTTATTCTCACTCTGTTCTCACTTTATTCTCACCCATTTCTCACTTTATTCTCATTTTATTCTCACTCTGTTCTCACTTTATTCTCACTTTATTCTCACTCTGTTCTCACTTTATTCTCACTCTGTTCTCACTTTATTCTCACTCTGTTCTCACTTTATTCTCACTTTATTCTCACTCTGTTCTCACTTTATTCTCACTCTGTTCTCACTTTATTCTCACTTTATTCTCACTCTGTTCTCACTTTATTCTCACCCTTTTCTCACTTTATTCTCATTTTATTCTCGCTCTGTTCTCACTTTATTCTCACTACATTGACAGCCAAACATTTAGAAACACCTCACTTTGTGTTTCCTTTTCACTTTACAACTTTTACGACGTCAGGATGATCATAAAGCATCGGCTCAGAGCTGCTTTATGATAAACTGGAGTTCTATTAAATAATTTTGAATATTTTGAACAATCTAATAATTCAGAGTCATTTATAATAAGTTTAAGATTTGTATTAGTTTGGTTTTCATATGTTATGAAAGTAAAATACACCTGAAGGATTAGCAGATTAGCAGATGCTGCGTTACGCTGACTAAACATTTTGTATTTTGTTTACTTAAGGAACAGTGAGAAAATTCCTATTCCCAGTTAAAAACAAGTTATTAGCAGTTTCATCTCTGTTTAACTGGAAACACACAGAACGTGTTTATCTGTTTTCAGTGAGGAGATCGCGTTCTATAACGGCAGTAAGAGGGAGATGAAGACCATCCTCGACACGTTCCACAAGCTGGTAAAACACCATGAATGAATTATATCAATAATAATTAGAATGATTATTATTATTATTATCAATTATTCTCCATGTGCTCCACTTCAGCAGTGATTTGTTCTCTCCTTCTGCCCCCTGCAGGTGGAGCACCTGAACCGCTTCATCTGTTTCCGGTTCTCTACGGGCATCATAGACAGCATCATCGCCAAATGTGAGAACATTCAGAACATAAAACCTAAACTGATTTAGAGGAAATGACCGATCGGGGTGGATGATACGGCAAAACATAACATGATGTACAAGATATTTTACGTTACCTGTAGACTGGACCTGAATATTCAACTGTTCGGATATTCGTTTGTTGGGCAGGTATTAATATAAAAGTCCTAAAACAGCCCAACATAAACATTCCTTCTCTTTAAAAGCTAAACTGCCTGCAGCGCGACGCGGCGGCGCCACAGTACACTGTATCAGCACGTTCCTGTACCGTATTTATGCTTTGAGAAGCATCGATACCGATACTGGTATCTACACATACTCATAAAAATTCACCAGTACCAGCATTCTGATACCAGCTGATCCCGCGTGATGTAAGTGGAGACCACACTGCTCCACTAATGAGCAAACGCAGTTCTAAACTTCATTATTCTTAACTTGGACCGTTTCTGTTGGTCCACTGATCATGAAGTGTTCACACGATACAAAGAGCAGCTTTTTAAACGATGATTTAAATCAGTAAATGCGGTTATGAGGTTCTGACGTGACGGTGATGAGAGGTTCTCTCTGTGTTGTGATGCAGACGACTGTAACTTTGCTGTAACTGTAACGTTACTGTGATCTGTGTTCTCCGGTTCCTCAGACATCGCTCTGGTGGTCGGGTACCTGGTGGTCAGCAGACCCTTCTTAGACCCCTCAAACACACGGCATCTGAACAGCTCACACTCTGAGAGGCTGGAGGTGAGATCTGAATCGGACTCTGACTGAATCTGAATTGGACTCTGACTGAATCTGAATCGGACTCTGACTGTATCTGAATCGGACTCTGACTGAATCTGAATCGGACTCCGACTGAATCTGAATCGGACTCCGACTGAATCTGAATCGGACTCTGACTGAATCTGAATCACACTCCGACTGTTAGAGACTCGGTCTGAAACTGATTTTAACTGTTACTGTTATAAACAGACTGAGGCTGAAAAAGCACTCATGGATTATTATGCACTGATCTGATGGTGGAGAATCAGAGGATTTTTAAATTTTTTGCAGATTTAAATTTCTCAGTTTGTTTGAAGATGGAAAATATAAAAACACTGCTAATTATATTTAAAAATTATTTGGAAGTTATCTAGATAATCTCCAGAATAAAGCTGCAATAAAGTTATTATCTAAAATAAACCTCTAATAAAATTAATATCCAGAATAAAGTTCTAATAAAATTAATATCCAGAATAAAGTTCTAATAAAATTAATATCCAGAATAAAGTTCTAATAAAATTAATATCCAGAATGAAGTTCTAATAAGATCATCATCCATAATAAAGTTCTAATAAAATTAATATCCAGAATAAAGTTCTAATAAAATTAATATCCAGAATAAAGTTCTAATAAAATCATCATCCAGAATGAAGTTCTAATAAAATTAATATCCAGAATAAAGTTCTAATAAAATCATCATCCAGAATGAAGTTCTAATAAAATTAATATCCAGAATAAAGTTCTAATAAAATTAATATCCAGAATAAAGTTCTAATAAAATTAATATCCAGAATAAAGTTCTAATAAAATTAATATCCAGAATAAAGTTCTAATAAAATTAATATCCAGAATAAAGTTCTAATAAAATCATCATCCAGAATGAAGTTCTAATAAAATTAATATCCAGAATAAAGTTCTAATAAAATCATCATCCAGAATGAAGTTCTAATAAAATTAATATCCAGAATGAAGTTCTAATAAAATCATCATCCAGAATGAAGTTCTAATAAAATTAATATCCAGAATAAAGTTCTAATAAAATTAATATCCAGAATGAAGTTCTAATAAAATCATCATCCAGAATGAAGTTCTAATAAAATTAATATCCAGAATAAAGTTCTAATAAATCATCATCCAGAATGAAGTTCTAATACAATTAATATCCAGAATAAAGTTCTAATAAAATCATCATCCAGAATGAAGTTCTAATAAAATTAATATCCAGAATAAAGTTCTAATAAAATTAATATCCAGAATTAAGTTCTAATAAAATCATCATCCAGAATGAAGTTCTAATAAAATTAATATCCAGAATGAAGTTCTAATAAAATTAATATCCAGAATGAAGTTCTAATAAAATCATCATCCAGAATGAAGTTCTAATAAAATTAATATCCAGAATAAAGTTCTAATAAAATCATCATCCAGAATGAAGTTCTAATAAAATTAATATCCAGAATAAAGTTCTAATAAAATCATCATCCAGAATGAAGTTCTAATAAAATTAATATCCAGAATGAAGTTCTAATAAAATCATCATCCAGAATGAAGTTCTAATAAAATTAATATCCAGAATAAAGTTCTAATAAAATTAATATCCAGAATGAAGTTCTAATAAAATCATCATCCAGAATGAAGTTCTAATAAAATTAATATCCAGAATAAAGTTCTAATAAAATCATCATCCAGAATGAAGTTCTAATACAATTAATATCCAGAATAAAGTTCTAATAAAATCATCATCCAGAATGAAGTTCTAATAAAATCATCATCCAGAATGAAGTTCTAATAAAATCATCATCCAGAATGAAGTTCTAATAAAATTAATATCCAGAATAAAGTTCTAATAAAATCATCATCCAGAATGAAGTTCTAATAAAATTAATATCCAGAATAAAGTTCTAATAAAATTAATATCCAGAATAAAGTTCTAATAAAATTAATATCCAGAATAAAGTTCTAATAAAATCATCATCCAGAATGAAGTTCTAATAAAATTAATATCCAGAATAAAGTTCTAATAAAATTAATATCCAGAATTAAGTTCTAATAAAATCATCATCCAGAATGAAGTTCTAATAAAATTAATATCCAGAATGAAGTTCTAATAAAATCATCATCCAGAATGAAGTTCTAATAAAATTAATATCCAGAATAAAGTTCTAATAAAATCATCATCCAGAATGAAGTTCTAATACAATTAATATCCAGAATAAAGTTCTAATAAAATCATCATCCAGAATGAAGTTCTAATAAAATTAATATCCAGAATAAAGTTCTAATAAAATTAATATCCAGAATTAAGTTCTAATAAAATCATCATCCAGAATGAAGTTCTAATAAAATTAATATCCAGAATGAAGTTCTAATAAAATCATCATCCAGAATGAAGTTCTAATAAAATTAATATCCAGAATAAAGTTCTAATAAAATCATCATCCAGAATGAAGTTCTAATACAATTAATATCCAGAATAAAGTTCTAATAAAATCATCATCCAGAATGAAGTTCTAATAAAATTAATATCCAGAATAAAGTTCTAATAAAATTATATCCAGAATGAAGTTCTAATAAAATCATCATCCAGAATGAAGTTCTAATAAAATTAATATCCAGAATGAAGTTCTAATAAAATTAATATCCAGAATGAAGTTCTAATAAAATCATCATCCAGAATGAAGTTCTAATAAAATTAATATCCAGAATGAAGTTCTAATAAAATCATATCCAGAATGAAGTTCTAATAAAATTAATATCCAGAATGAAGTTCCATTAAAGTTAATATTCAGAATGTGTTATATTTGGTGATTAAATCTGAAGGTGGGTAAGTTTATATAAACCTGCTGTAAACAGATAATTACAGCATTAAATTTAAAGCATATCATAACTCAAAATCCTTGAAATAGTTAATAAAACATCTAAAACACATTTTGGTTTCTAGTTTGAGTTAAATGTACATTGTATAAGTTATTATTGTATATAAAATAAGACAAAATATTAATTTAACAGGTGATTCTGAACTTGTGGACGGTGTATATTTCATTAAATTCCCACTGTGTGGATTTTTGCTCTGACGTTCAGAGTCAGTGAGCAGTTCTGTATCTTATGCTGTGCAGCTGTTGCTGTTTTATTCCAGTTGTTTGAGTTGTTGTTGTTGTTGTTGTTGTTATTGTTGTTGTTGTTTGTGCAGGACTATTATCAGAGCGGCCGGATGCTGCTGAGTTTGGCTCAGGCTCTGGGCAGAATCGTCCTGGCGGGCAGAGAGATGACCAGGCTGTCAGGGTCAGTATTATTTATCTTCGTTCTGATTTCTCAGGTCATGTTTTTTTATATTCTGTCCATTGTGTTCCTCCTCCGTCCTCACTGTGTGCTTAAGTCCCCCAGTGGCCCATAAATCCCCGCATTCTCAGCATATTTCATGAGTCATGATGAGCCAAAACGTTCAAAAATAAAACGCTGACAGATTTTTAAATGATCAGAAATCTCCCACTAATGTTCCAAACATCTCCCAAACTGACCACAAATATCCTGGGAACCCAAAACAACAACATTATACTGGAATCATGACGCTTTAAATGTCCCAGACCAGTTTTCCTCACTTCTACGCCCGTATATGGAAACTTAGCTGCAAAAATGGCCTGTTTAGAATTCTCCATTCAGCCTACAGCGTCTTAGCCCCGCCCATTCCGCCTACAGCAGTTTAGCCCCGCCCATTCCGCCTACAGCAGTTTAGTCCCGCCCAATTAGTCTACAGCGGTTTAGCCCCGCCCAATTAGTCTACAGTGGTTGAGCCCTGCCCATTCCGCCTACAGCTGTTTAGCCCCGCCCAATTAGTCTACAGCGGTTAAGCCCCGCCCAATTAGTCTACAGTGGTTTAGCCCCGCCCAATTAGTCTACAGCGGTTTACCCCCGCCCAATTAGTCTACAGTGGTTTAGCCCTGCCCATTCAACCTACAGCAGTTTGGCCCCGCCCAATTAGTCTACAGCGGTTTAGCCCCACTCATTCACCCTACAGCATCTTAGCCCTGCCCATTCCGCCTACAGCATCAAAGCCCCGCCCATTCCGCCTACAGCACCTTGGCCCCGCCCATTCAGCCTACAGCAGTTTAGCTCCACCATTCAGCTACAGCTGTTTAGCCCCGCCTACAGCAGTTTAGCCCCACCCATTCACCCTACAGCATCTTAGCCATGCCCATTCCGCCTACAGCATCAAAGCCCCGCCCATTCCGCCTACAGCACCTTGGCCCCGCCCATTCAGCTACAGCAGTTTAGCTCCACCATTCAGCTACAGCAGTTTAGCCCCACCCGTTCAGCTACAGCAGTTCAGCTCCACCATTCAGCTACAGCAGTTTAGCTCCACCATTCAGCTACAGCAGTTTAGCCCCGCCCATTCAGCTACAGCAGTTCAGCTCCACCATTCAGCTACAGCAGTTTAGCTCCACCATTCAGCTACAGCAGTTTAGCCCCACCCATTCAGCTACAGCAGTTTAGCTCCACCATTCAGCTACAGCAGTTTAGCCCCACCCATTCAGCTACAGCAGTTTAGCCCCACCCATTCAGCTACAGCAGTTTAGCTCCACCATTCAGTCTACAGCAGTTTAGCTCCACCATTCAGCTACAGCAGTTTAGCCCCACCATTCAGTCTACAGCAGTTTAGCCCCACCATTCAGTCTACAGCAGTTTAGCCCCACCCATTCAGCTACAGCAGTTTAGCCCCACCATTCAGCTACAGCAGTTTAGCTCCACCCATTCAGCTACAGCAGTTTAGCTCAGACTGCTTTTTAAGTGAGGCACAATACAGGACAGCCAATCAGAACAGAGCTCATTTACATATATCAGTCTTAAAGCCACAATAACAAAAACAGCCTGTTTAATTGTGAGGGATAGAGCATCATGCAAACATGAATTCTGACTGTTTTTCGTTCTTAAACCCAAACAAAGATTCTAAAGAGAATTAGAAAAAGACGTCACCCTTTGATGTGCGTTAATGAACATGTGGTCAGTAACTGACCCCGGTGTGTTGGCCTGCCTGACTGACTGCGTTCCTCTGATCAGATTCACTGCGCGGATCACAGAGATTCAGGAGGTCCTGAAGGAGCTGAACTCGGGCAGATATGAGCGCACGATGGTCTCTCAGCTGGGGAAAGGTCCACACCTCCACACCTCCACACCCCCCAACACACTCACCACTGAGCTTAGATTAAACAGTCTGAGTCACCTTAATATTGATCAGAACGCTTATTATTCAATACCTACTATAAACCATTCAGTGTCTACTGTGAAACTGACGTGTAAGTTCTGTAGTTATGAGAGTCAGGAACTGAAATGTGGACCCATATAAAGACCTTTAGTGTTATTATAATAATTATTATTATTTCCTTTCTCAGAGTCTGATGCAGTGAATAAAATGAGTCTGGTACCCGGCAGTGGACAAATAGTTCATGCAGATAACATCATCAGGTAACTCACACAGTCTGAACACCTGGTGAACAGCTGGATATCATTCATATTCGTACAGTCCAGACATACTAGGGTCTTATTTACTCACTACTTTAACGTGATCTTAAATCATTATCAGTGCTTTATCAGCAGGAAAAAACAAAAAGCTTGTGCTTTTGTTTACACTCAGGTAGCTTCAATCATAAACCTCCTGAAAAAGCCTGAGTAGCGCAGAATGTATATGTAGTTTTTGTTTATTAACAGCCATAAATTATATAATTAATGGAATGAAGGGTGTAGTGTCTCTATACATTCAAGACATAAAATAAATATCATAAGAATGGGTCATACGGACCGGAGCGGTTTCTCTGACGTGTGAGAGTGAAACAGAAAACCCGGAGCGGAGCTGGAGCTGGAGCTGGAGCTGGAGCGGAGTGACTATAGAGTGAGGAGC